TAATTTCACGCGTAAAAGATTTCCACGAAAAGCAAAAAAAAAAAAAAAAGAATTATAATAATATAGTATGTAATTATTTATTTTTATATTTAGAATATAGTATATAAGTATTATTTATTTTTATACTTAGATTTTATGTATTTTCAGAATTCTTCGTAGTTATTTTTCCCCATCATTTTAGGTTGAAATTTCGTCTGATACATCTCACTCCGAAGGGGAATTGTACATGCCAAGTTCCGGTTCTTATTCTCTCGGGGAAATTCGCATGCTGACAAAGAGTCGATCAGACAGCGAAAACATCGATAATTTCGATAGTAACGTAGCCATTTTCGTTACGAAAGAGATGTTGACTTCTTGGAGCGAATCTTCAAAGGTAACAAAATCAGTTCAATAACAATATATGAAACAATAATGTTAAAATCATCAAGTAGATAAAAAATAGTTAAAATTATTTAAACTTAAATATTAGAATCATCGTAAATCAAATAGAATAAATAAATCAAACAGGTAAAAAAATAGTTAAACTCAAATGTTAGCATCATCATAAATCAAGTAAATAAAAATTACTTGATTTAATTTAAATATTATATTGCGACAATATCAATTTTTAACTTTATTAAAAACTACTACTTTTGTAATTGCACTGCTTAATCGATTTGTTTTCAGTCCCTCGTGCAAAGCATGGGAGAAATTTAGAATTGCTGATTTGATCGAGAAGGCGCGTCCGTGCAAAGTATATTTCGACATGACCACGTACGTTTCAAATATTACAATTGAAGATGCAACGGCGGTGACACACCTATTATTTATGATTTGAAAAAAGATTATCAAATGCACAAGATAAGAAATATCGTCAAAATATTGTAAATAGAATGATAATTTTAAATAAACGTATTGTATATCGGATTGTTGCACGGTATCGTGTAATTAAGCATAAATAATGTGGAATGTGCTTGTTATTATTATATCCTAGCTAACCTGTGATCATTTATTACACAGTTTGAATTAAATAGCAATAATCCTAGATATGCACGAGAGTTGAATTCGACGAAGTAAATGTGCTTTGTACACCGAGTGTAAAATGTACACGATTAAACGGAATGCAATAGTACCGTAGTGTATTTTTTAAACGATCCAAACATAACCTAACATTTCAAGGGAAAAAATATGAAGTTAGTTGACGCGAAAATCTTATGAACAACGGCATTGATAAAGTGCAATTTTCCTACGGGGTATTTTTGGAAATAATGTACTGTATACGCTTTAATGGATAAAAATTATACTCAACACAAGGGAACCACGCGGAAAAAAATGAGCGACAAGAATGTCATCGGTTATTCGATATCTGAGAAAAAGCGGCAGAAATTTAATTGGAACGATTTTTGTAGTGTCTGTGAGTCCGAAGGGTTTCTATTAAAAATGGTAAATAATTTTCAGCCATTTCCGAATTGTTATTAAATAGTTATTCGTAGCAGTACGAGGTTATGTATATATGTAAATGTTCTATGTATACTTGTACAACATTTGATGATATATTTTACAATTGATTGCAGATTGATATAAATTCTGATCTTGAATCTCAGGGACCATTTCATGTTTTTATATACAAAATGACAGATAAATTAGCGCATGCTGAATATGGCGATCAAAATGTACGAATAAATTTTTTCTCACATCTGTTGCTATTAATAGCCTTCTAATTTGTTTACTTTATATTTTAGGCCAAAGCAATCATTTCGAGAATGAAAGAATACTTCTGCCAACATCCTGAAATAATAGTTATCGACCCTTTGGACAATATTAGAATTTTAATAAATCGTTACAAATCATATGAAATTTTGCAAGAACAGCTACGACTCGATGGTAAAAATCCTTGATAGCAAGTGTAATTTTAACAATAATTGACAACTGTTGATTACAGTTAATAAAGTTTTAAGCAATAAGTTATTGATTTTAACTTATGTGTCTGTATTTTAGATGTATTTACTCCCAGGTTTATAGAAATCAAAAATAAAAATACCATTGAGAATATATCACTGTTAAGAATGGCAGGTATTAAGTTCCCATTTCTTTGTAAACCACTTGTCGCTCAGGGTTCCAATGATGCACATAAGGTAATTATCAGAGAAAATACAAACATCATTTAAAAGTTTATAATATATATGTATGCTTTCTTAGATGATGGTGATTTTTAATGAAGAGGGTGTAAAGGACTGTCAGCCTCCTTGCGTGGCTCAAGAATTTATCAACCATAATGCAATACTATATAAAATATATATAGTTGGAGAGAATTTTCACGTAGTTGAAAGACCTAGTTTCAAAAACTTTTACGAAGAAGACTGTACTGCATTGAACACAATATTTTTTAGTTCTCACGATATATGCAAAAGCGGTTCCAGGTCAAAATGGTCAATTCTTACGGAAGAAGACATTCCATTAACAGTAAAACCAAAACATGAAATATTAGAAAAGATTGTTAAGAGAGTTACAGAACTCTTTGGATTACTTTTGGTTGGTGTGGATGTTGTTATTGAAAATCATACTGGAAAATATGCAATCATAGATGTAAATATGTTTCCTGGGTATGATAGTTATCCCAATTTTTTTGAACAATTAATAAACTGCATTAAGAAATTGTCAATGGAGAACAGAGATTTGCAGCAACATTCTAGAAATTATACATTAAAAAAATGTTTAAGCGATGATTTAGATTCTGGCTTTGAAAGTGATGAGAAGAAAAAATATTCTCCAAAGGATAAATAATACAGATAATATGAAAGTTAAGGAGATTAATAAATATATCAAACTGATATTCCAGTTCACTATATTGTAACAAGTACAAAATGATATAATTTGACGAATCAATGTACACTTCTTTTTATATAATAGCTTAATTTATGTTTACTTTCAAAGATTTGAAACTGTTACAGCAGATCTGCGTTTTGTAACCAGAACTACTTGCTTCTTTCTAACATTTTTATGTTGTATTCATGATATATAGTTATTGTAGGAAGAGATTAATTTTGTTTATTGTCTACATCGAAATTTTTTAAAAATTAGCCCACTGTGGTAAGAAACGCATGACTGCCAAAGAATATTTTGTATTTTTCACTTGTATACTATATTTGCATAAAATGGTTGAATAAAACAGCTCTGGGATTAATGTATGTAACGTATGTTTATAAATTTACATTTTCATTGTGAGGTATAAAATTGTACATTAAAACCACTATGAAAATATTAAAAATGCATAATAAAAGGATTATTGAATACTATTGTTATTTATTCAGACAATCCTTTCATGTAATTGCTCATTTTATCTTTACAAAACTATAAATATAAATTCTATATGCTTACAGAATAATGTAATATATTTTATTACATTTTTTGAACTTATGAACTTATTTAAAAAAAATAGTCGGTGTTTTTAAAATACTTAAAGGCTAATTATTCTCTTTATTTACATACTAAAAACTCAAACATTAATTTATTTACAAAAATAATAAATTATCTACGTCAAAAAAATAATTTTTTAACTATTAGAATCTACTTGATTTTCATTTTTATCATTCATTTCTTTTTGTTTCATCCAAGCCTTGGCAGACGCCAAAAATTTAAGATTAGGTCTTTGTGATTCATCCTCTGGGAACATGAAATCAAATATTTCTTCCCAACCATCATCATTCTAAAATTGAAAATTACATACGTAAAAAAATGTTTGTTTTTACATAATTATTAATAACAATAATAAATTTACCCCATCTTCTCCGACAATACGTCTTCTACGTTTAATCCTTCGAGGCATTTTCTCCATAATTTTAGCTCGAGTTTCATCATCTCCTTTCTCATTCTCGAAATCTCTCCACGCTTCCAAAAGCAACGCTCTGCTTTCTTTGTCACCGTTCGATCTAAGTGCATCGTTTCCGCGTTCAAAGATTCTTCTTGCCAACACAACATTATCAAGACCATCCTGACTTGTTGAATTCGCTAATTCAAATTTAGCGTATGCAATCCAAACCTAAGTGTTGTACAATATGTATTTGATAAATATTACTTAATATTATTACTATATTATTTAATATTATTGCTAAATATTACGTATTTCGTATTTAACTACAATACTTACTTTAACGTGAAGTGTACGTTCTAATAATCTTTCGAATAATTGTCTTGCGTTTTCTGTTTCATCTTGCGATATCTCAAAATCAATATATGATTTCCATAAAAGTTCTGGCATATCTAATCTATAAATTGAAATAACGATTCAATAAAAGATTATGCTTATCCATATTTTTATATTTATTTTTAAATACTTCACCTCGGTTGTGATATAGCTAATTCGTAAATAGCTCGTGCTCGATCTACATCACCCAAGAGCGTTTCTAATTCAGCAAACTGTATATAAAAGTATTATAATGAATTGTAAACTTTTAACTGCTGAAATTGTAATAAATAATAAATTGATTAAATTTACATACTTTCATCCATGTAGTACAATTCTCTGGCCCAAATTCGAGAAACTTTTCATATAAGATTCTACATCTATCGAATTCTCTTAACTGTATTTCTAAATCAATATATCCACGGTATAATTTATCTCTGGGACAGATACCTAACGCCATACCCTATAATTGAAACAATTAATTAATTTTTAAGCATTGTTGAAATTAACAAATTTATTTAATTGCTACTTACTAATCTTTTTCTTGCTGCTGTGAGATTTTTCTGTCTTATTTCAAAGTATGCGTAAAGTAACCAGATCTTGGCGAAAGTAAAGTGTTTGTGCGGAATTAATTCCAAACAAGCTCTGAAAAAAAATATAACTTAACCTTTAATAAAAATATAATTATACCTTGATCAAAATACAACATTCTTTATAATAAAATATTAATTACTTGTAGACTTGTCTACATCTTTCTATGTCCTCGGTATCAAGTTCTTCAAAAAGAGCATAATTTATCCAAAGATAAATGTATCTTCTCCAAAATAGTTTTTCCTATAAAAAATGAAAGGTTTATATTAACAATATTTATTTAATAAATATATAATTATGTATTTATACTAAATTAAATATAAATTTTCTACCTTAGTGGGAGGTACATTAGCTATCGCACGCTCATAAGTTTCTCTAATAACGTCGACATTTCCTTCCGATTCCACTAATCTCAAATAATCGAACCAGGCATCATAATTTGAAGGATTTTCTTTTACTTCTTGTTCATATTGATATTTCCGTTTGCTCACTATTACATCCTCGATGCCTAAAAATAACAATACAATACGTAACTAAATAAATGCATGATAAATGAAAAATAAATTATAATACCTGAACGATCTCCATATTTTTTTTCATGTATCGTATACGCTTTATAAATCTCTTGCGTTTTTTCTTTTGGAATATGATCTAATGCATATTTATAAATTACTCTTGCTCGATCATGCTGTAAAAAAATGTAGTGTGAATAATATAACGTACATCGAACGTTATACGGAAATAATTTTACTTCTTTCTTACTTCTCTCTGTCCTTCCTCGAACTTTGCAAATGCAATAAACAATCTTTCGTCTAAATTTTCGTCGCCGTAAAAATCAATGGCACGTTCATAAACATTACGAGCGCCGTTAATAAAACCATGAGACTCTTCAAACCGTGCATATTTTATCCAATGCTTAACATCTGGATGAACCATTACAAACCGTTCATAAATTTGTCTAGCTCTCTGTATTTCTTTATATCTCAATTCAAATTTTATATAGGTTTGCCATGCCTGTTCGTCGGGTTCCCATTCCATCCATCTTTCAAATACCTGACGCGCTCCTAAATAAGTTTTTCAATCAACAATAAGTTGTTGGTATACGTTTTTAGCTCGAAAATAAAAAAAAAATTTACCAGCAATATTTTCTAACATTTCTTCCATATAAGTATATTTATACCAAAATTGATTTGCTCTAGGTAATATAGTAACCGCACGGTCCCACAAATTTCTTGCATGATTTACTTGACGATTTCGCATTTCCATCTCTGTGTATTTTAGCCATAATGTAATATTTCTATGATCAACATCTAGAGCACGTTCATATATGGATCTAAAATTCATAAATGAGATTTTAATACAAAATTGTTGATAACAAATAGTAAACTATGTGTTAATACAAAATTCCATCTGCTTTCTGCTAAAAGAAATTTAATGTATTAATTATAAATATATGATTATAACAATCATATATTTTATACCTTCATTATAAGAATATATATTTTATACCTTGCTCGTTGTATCTGTTTTTGACTTTCTTCCCACTGGGCATATTTTATCCAATTTGAAATAACCATGCGATTTTTACGAATATTATCTTCAAAAGCTTTGCGCTTCCGATGTTGATAATCAGCTAACTCATGAGGATCAGAGATCTTTTGCTTTGGTGGCTAAAATAATTGTAAATATGTATTATAACGTTTAATTAAAATTTATATATAATAAAATGTTTTTATCTTTCAATTAGAACTTAAAATTAGAACTTAAAATTATTAAAATAAAATTCGAATAAAGTAAGTAGAAAGACATTTACCGGTGGTAAGATTTCCAGATCTCTTTCTTTTGCCTCTCTCAAAAGCTGCTCTGCTGTTATTTGAATTTCAGCAGGCGCTTTATTTTTGACCTAAAATAATATACAATAAGAATAGTTTGTTATCAAAAAACTTATTTCATTCATTAGATTATATGAATACAAAAATATATAAAACTACGTACCTTTGCCACTTTTGGCATTTTTTGTGACTTCTCCATGATCTTAGATTTAATTCAACTTCTTCTAATGTAATAAAAATAAATAGTCAAAGTAATTGACGAATGCAATATGATTTATTAAGTTAACAAATTATTAATTATTTATATTAGATAAATTGTGGAAATTGTTTTACAATCTCGATATTTATGATATTTATAAAAGAAATCAGAAAAAGATCAAAGAATAAGAAACTTAAATAATATTTTACAGCATTGTTTTTATGCGAAACGTCACTAATATTTATAATTATCAAAGAACGTATTTTAGTAAACAAATATCAAATGAATAGGTTAGATCTACTACCTGTAGATACGATATTTTTTATAGTTACTTTGATCCCTGACTACGTCACATTGGTAATCGTTCTTTCAGTATTTTTCAAACAAACTAAAAAATATCTTTGCTATTAATCATTGTCAGTCGATAGTGTTTAATCGAAACAAATAATTTTACACACGTGTACATCATCTATTAATTGAAAAATGTCACATAAACTTTGATTACTATCTACTACAGCTCGGGAAGTCAGAAAGATAAAAAAAATTCAGGAATAGTGAGTTTTCATCTAGTGATTTTCGTACGGTTTCGTTAGTAACACTGCGCCATGTTTACACGCGCGAACCTCTCGCTTCTTTGAACGTAACGCGCACGATGCCGAAAATCCGTGCGACGTTAAATACATCGCTTTCACAATCGTGCGCCTAGATTCGTAAGAAGCGGGGAGGGCAAGAATTCGATGTTCGTCGGTGAGACCTCGAGTCGCATTAATCGCCTGATACGGTCTGAAATCCGCTGGTTCGCTCGCGTCGTGTGTCAATTCCATCGGAACGTGTGCAGGCGCGTGACTAGCTTTTAACAGTGACGTTCGTCGGTTCATGACGTTTGCACAACGAACGTCCGCGCTACGAACGCAATTTCCACAGACAATAACGCTCGCAGCGAACGTTCGGGCGAAACATCGGCCTGCTGGTGTTCGACAACTCTTGCTGATCGATAAATCTCGCGGACCGTGACAAAACGTCGACGTCGTTCGCTGTGGATTTTCCCGTTTACGTGGGCCAACCAGCCAGAAACAAACGAAGGCTGCCCCCGAGGAGAGACAGAGACGGGAGACAGCAAGCAAGAAGGAGAGGTGCTGATTCGCGGGACGGGAAAGAGTCGGAGAAAGAAGGCAAGACGTGCGTAGCAAGAGAGAGAGAGAGGGCACTCTCAGTGCCGGAGCTTTATCTTTATTATGCGCCGCTGAGTGAATTGTCAAGTGAAATCAGAAATGGCTGCCAACGAGCAACAACGCAAGGTGAGTAGGGAGAGAATACGTTGTATTTTTCTCTGGATTACCAGTGACTTTTCCGTACGTTCGTGTCGGAAGCGGGTTCGTCGTATCGTTTGCTGGTCGGTTCGTCGTTCTCCAGGGTCGGACGTACGACCCGTTCGCGATGGTTTTGAGTCAGGAAAAAGAAAACGGGATCCCTGGACGGGTGCCTCTCGACGGGTATCAAGTCGTAGCCAAAACGCGACCTCGGCCTCGAGTTTTGCGTCGATAAATGTCTGACAGCGACAGGGGCCACGGGAACGAACAGCACGGGAACTTGCTGCGTTTAACACGGATGGCCAACGTTCAACGGAACGTTCCGCTTCATTCAAATATTTGCCAGATCATCGGTGCACAGAGAAACTGTGTAAATCACTATAGGCAGTATGTATTTACATTCGCTCGACCAGCTGTCAAGTGGACGATCGCGAAGGAGGGTGTCGTGTTAGATCCACGGTGATGAAATATGCGCGACCTGTGATCATTCTCGGCTCCTTGTCTCGCAGTGAAACAACTATGTACGTACGGACGTCGTTTGCCAAAAAACGACGTTGAATTTGACGTCGGGTGATTCGAGTGGAGCGATATCGGGGGAGGGACGATGGTACGTACATACGGTACGTGCAATGGCATTAAAACGAAAGCTGCGATGTACGTCCACGAGCGACGTGCATCCAAATAATATCCGACGATGGTCCCTCGTTGTCATGTTTCCTCTCTTCACGTTGTTTTCCAACGACTTTTCGTCGGCGATCGCGCCTGTGATAATACGAGTTTAACGAGCGATTGCGACACTTTATTATATGAAAAATATTTTTGGACTTTGCGCGCGACCGAGGTAATTAGACAGGACACGAAAATTAACATATGCCTGTTACGACGGCGGATATCTGTGGATTTCTCCTCGACGACGGAATCTCCTCCGACCGCTGCCAGCGATCTTTAATAGCGACCGCGCATTGTCAATTGCGATTGCGAGATATTTCGGGAATGTACGACAGAATGCATTTATTCCTCTGACATTGGGATTCTACCAATCCGGGCATTCGTAGATCGTTCTCCTCGTTGTACCATAAATAG